CGTATACGCGTATTGGGCTGACACGCATTACGCGTATATTTTGGTTCGGATATATCTGAGCTGCACTGTAGGAAGTAGGGGTCAAATTTATGAAAACGTTCTAGGGTAAGCTGTACCCTAATGTATACTTAGAAAAAGTAGGTTTTAATTTAGGAGAGTTATATCAATCTAGCTATGGGAATTCCTGTTTTATGGTCATTGCTCAATTGACTTCAATCGCTCCTGCCCGCATGATATGGAACAACCAAGTCATCCTGTTGGACAAGAGATTTTTACATGCCACTTGCCCAGGGACACAATTTGTCAAAACTATTTGTCGGACCCTGTGAGTCCCTGTTGGTAAATTTAATTTTAAGAAAAGATGAGCAATTGGCCATCATGACCACATTATAAAGCAAGCTCACATGGTCACCACAATTATATGATATACAGAAGTTTCTGCAATCAAATTAAAAAACACTTGTCTTGAACTTAGTGTTATGTCTAATGTCTTATGTTGTCTTATGTTGTTGTTGTTGTAAGAACATGTAAGTGTATTAACGCCATCTGTTCTATTTTTTTTTCTTGAAATGCTCGTGCAGGGAGTACAAGGCAAGACATTTTGTTGAGAAAGTATATACGGGATATGATCGGACTCTAAGAAAAAAAATAGACTGACTGAAAGCAGTCAGCTCTCAAAAAGGTCAAGCATGGAAATGCATTGTAAAGTTTGCAGTCCCATTTGGAATACAAAGAATTTAATTTATAAAAAAAAATTAAAAAAAATTACAGACATTTCATTCCTTTTCCACTGATTTCAGCTATTTACCTCAAAACCTCGCCTCGCTGTTTACAGACATCAGCTTGGCGCTTCTCTGAAGGGAGGAAAATGCCCGCCTCGGACATGTATTCAAGTGTACTTCTTTTATACAGCTTTATTTGTGAAGGTGAATCGAACTACAACGTAAACTACAGTCTCGAACAAAGAAAGTATTTGTCTTCGCCGACAACTAAAAACTATCTAGGCAGGCTGTGTGACTTTTATTGCGATACAACTCGATCGCACAAAAACTTCGCTAAGATTGTAATCACAGAACACACATGCCGAAACCTCTTCAGTCTTTGACCAAATGAAGCCCAGAAAGGTCTATTTATTCCGTAGTTTGTCACTTAAACTACTCTCTGCAGATCTATTCAGACTACGGGTACCTAAATATCACTCATTTGTAGTTCTAAAGCGTGATTAAAGCGAAAAGAAATTCTGCTTTGCTATATCCTAACCTGTTCAGCCATGGTTGCCACTAAAAGAGGAAGAACCACGTGGTCTCGTGAATTTTCCCGACATGCTGTGCTGTTTTTGTCGGACGGAGACGAGGCTCGAAGTTCAAGATGGCGGCAAAAATGAACTGAGTTTAGCTTCGAAAGATATATGAACAGTCTGTCACGTTTTAAGTTACCATTATTGCAGCATCTCTTGAACTGTGAGTCTTAGAAAGATATAAGCACGGTATTGATTATGTCCTAAGGTATCGCACGTGCACTTCCCTCTCTCCATCGCGCCAAACTAAAGCTAAGGGTACAAATTATGCACGGAATCGCGGAAACAATGTTTGATCAATGATGCGACAAGTTCCATTAGCTCGTGTGTGCAACAGCATTGGTCTTCCAGTCAGTCGTGGATGTCTTCCATATGCCTAGCAAAGCATATAAGTATTTGCGTTTTCAATGAATCGAAGTTACAATGTTAGAGCTTAACTTGAATATGTTTGGGTTGAACGAGTAAACGCAATTTAAGCTATATATTAATTAGTGTCTAGCTATATCTTAAGCTTATATACCTAAGTTTACTGTTTTGAAAGAAACATAGAGCATTTCGTTAATGCTTCTATCATTTCGATTAAGTTGACATCTCCAATTAATTAGTTAAGTTCAAACATGGCAACCCTGTGGCAATCTTGCCATCTTTGATACGATACCAAAGTGTCAAACAAAACGTGGCAACTTGCTTGAGCAAATTTGGTATAATGTGGAACATTTTGCTGCAAGTCATTGTGAAAGTGCACCTACAAAAACTGTCAGTCAGCTGTACATCTTTATTGTCGACCCAGTTTTACAGAGTTTTACCAATTTAATAATTTATTAATTACATGTTTGCATTTGGTTAATATGATATTGTCTCGTCTCGTTTTGTCCTCCAGTTCCTATTCCCACTAAAAACTGGACATGAAGCACTGCTCATCAGTTTCCTTGGAAAATGCTGGAGAACTGTGTTAAAATGTAGTATACTTACCTGTAGGTAAGAATGTACACTCTATATGATGTGCACATACAAGCACAGGGTAAATATGGGAAGGGAGGGTGTGGCAGACAATAATTATTGCAAGAGGGTACAAGAGAAGTTCTGCCCAATCACCTGACACATGTACTTGTCTTCCTATCACTAACTTCTTGCAAATCTTCTTTTTCGACCCCATTCAATATCTCTTCTTTACTTGGGAGACTCTGTGGAGAAGAGAACTTGTGCAGAAGAAATTAGTATAGGTAATTGTATGAAGGTGAAGGATTTACATACATGTGCCAATGATATTTGAAAATTCTCTCAACTTTGGGTGAATGTATTTTGAAAGAATTTTCAAATATAGCAAAGAGTGTAAATCCTTAATTGCTCACGCTTTGATATGATTACTCATTTATTATATGACTGAGAAAATTGCAAACGTGCTCGCATTAATTTGTACTGCAGTACAAATTAAGAATTAACAATAAATTGGCCTGCCCTCAGCCGATCACAAGATTGCTGAGAAAACTGAACAAAACATTTAGGATAACCCTGTAATGACCTGCCACTTTATTCCTCAATACATGTCATATTTTTATAGAGACCAGAGTTGCACGTCAGGTGAGGTATGCCTTTCTTTGTTTCTGTAGGTTATGAAGGAAGAAAAAGAAAACATTGAAGAGTTTTTGTGCAACAGATATAAAGAAAAGGGTAATCTATTGAGAGTAATGCATTTAATATCTAACCTCTGACTAATGTTACATGCAATGTAGTTACAACTAGAATTACACGACTGTCA